ATTCATGGAGATGTTCCTCAACATTTTTAACAAACCTCCTGAGTTTGTTGCTCAGGAGGAGTCTTCTGGGATGGTATATCGTCTTCGCAAATCCCTATGTGGCCTCAAACAGTCTCCTAGGGCTTGGTTTGGAAAGTTTAGCAAGGTTGTTCAACAATTTGGTATGACTCGGTGTGAAGCAGATCATTCTGTCTTTTATCGACACTCGAGTGCTGGATGTGTTTACTTGATAGTATATGTTGATGACATCGTTCTTACAGGTAGTGACAACCATGACATCTCTCAGTTGAAACAACATCTTTGTCACCATTTTCAGACCAAAGATCTTGACAAACTTAGATATTTCTTGGGTATTGAGGTGGCACAATCCAATGATGATATTGTTATATCTCAGAGGAAGTATGTCATAGATATTTTGGAGGAAACTAGGTTGATGAGTTCAAAGTCTATTGATACACCCATGGATCCCAATACTAAACTTCTACCAAATCAGGAGGAGCCTATATCTGATCCTGAGCAGTATAGAAGATTGGTTGAAAAATTGAATTATCTTACAGTTACTTGTCCTGACATTTCCTTTGCAGTCAGTGTGGTAAGTCAATTTCTTAATTCACCATGTGAAGATCATTGGAATGCAGTCATTCGTATCTTGAAGTATATTAAAGGATCTCCTGGAAAAGGATTGTTATATGGTTCTAATAACCATACAAGAGTTGTTTGCTACTCAGATGCTAATTGGGCAGGATATCCTTCGGATAGAAGATCTACATCTGGATATTGTGTCTCCATTGGTGGTAATTTGATCTCATGGAAAAGTAAGAAACAAAGTGTTGTGGCAAGATCCAGTGCAAAAGCAGAATATAGAGTTATGACCTCAGTTGTCTGTGAACTTGTTTGGCTCAAACAATTGCTTAGAGAGTTACAATTTGGAGATGTCACTCAAATGACACTTGTGTGTGACAATTAGGCTACTCTTCATATTAGTTCTAATCCTGTCTTTCATGAGAGGACCAAACACATTGAGATTGACTGTCATTTCATTCGAGAAAAGATTATGTCTGAAGATATCAAGACTGAGTTTGTTAACTCAAGTGATCAATTAGCAGATATTTTCACTAAGTCTTTACGGGGCCTAGAATTGATTATATTTGTAACAAGCTTGACACATACGATTTGTATGCTCCAGCTTGAGAGAGAGTGTTAAATATTATTTAGATATTGTTTAGATATAGTTTGATATTATTAGATATTGTTAACCACATTATCAAACAATATCTTCTATTTATTTTGTTTACTTTCGGTTACTCTTTTAGTTGTAACTCTCTATTATAAATAGATTATCCTATGTGTGATTTATACACAAGGGAGATTAATTTCAAACCATATTTCCTTTATATTAACAATTATAAATAATTCTCATCAATATACAGGAATAGACTCTTCTGATAAAAACATATCAATATAAAAAATATTAAAAATATTTAAAAATTCAATAATTTTGAATTTTGAAAACTAAATTTAAAAAAATCATAATTGTAATCATTATACGGTTATTACCACGATAAATGTTATATTGTATTAGTAACACAATAATTATGATTGTGTACGTCGTAATAGATATGATTATTGATATATTTTTCATTCTCTTATTATTATTATATAATTCTTGTAATTACTATCAATCATATCATGATAAGAAAAATGATCAATATAATATTTTTATATAGATTTAATTTTTATTTAATAAACTTTTTACTAGAGATGTTAATTGGATCGAATCGATATCCATCCAAATTAAATAGTTTGATTTAAAAAAGTTATAATTTAATCCAATATACAATTGAATCAAAGTTAATTATTATTTAATTATTTTATTAATTAAATATGTATTTTTAAACTATAAATTTATTCAATATATTTTTTCTAAAAATATATTCTAAACATATATATTTAAAAAATCTAACGAAAAAATATTTAAAAAAATATATGATTCAATTAATTCAATACAATCAAGCATATATATATATATATATATATATATATATATATATATATATATATATATATATATATTTTAACATTTCTCTTTTCAAATTTGATCATTATATGTTATTTTAATATAATTATTAATATTTTAATATTAACTATTACATGTTATTAATACAGTTAAAATTGGATTCAAGGAACTAGAATAATTTTTGTTGCTTCAATCTCACCATAATTTTTCTTCCATTGAAAATGTTTTAATTTAGTAACCAAATACCTTCATTAAATTAAGTAACAGGTTTTAGTGATAAAGGATTTAGGATAGATAATTTATAATTTGAAACTCTTTGTCCTCCTTGTTAAGAATCAAAAGGTGCAACAAGTGACTAATCTAGTCGTTGGTCCAACCTCATCCACCCTCTTTTATGCTCAACAAATGCCTGGGCTTTAAGGGCCGTGGCCCACAAAAATGGGATACAGAAGTCTGATTTGGAGATTATTGTTTGTGGCTCCTTTTTCTAATTACACCTACTCTATGTTATTTGCAAATCAGAAAGGAATAAAAAGAGAGATGAGACTCTATATTTATTGGTGTAAAACAAACCCTCCTACCTCAATATTTATTTCAATGCATCTGATTTTGGAGAATGTATTATTATGTGCAACTTTTTTGTGTTTCTGTACTATCTGGATCAAGAAGTGTGATGTGTGCCTTGTTGCCACTTTCTCATCACACACTTTAAAAAAGAACATCAATAATTTAGCCATTAACTCGGATAAGATAATGAACAATCAGATTCTTAACGTGAATAATATGCATCATGTCATAAAAAAAATAATAAAATAAACGTGCGTGCTTTATTAAAATTATAATTTTTTATTGGATTTTATCAAGAACTTAATCCCCTCAAATAATGTGATATCTCATATCTCTAAAGTGTTTGGACATACTTCAAAAGTTAAAACCCCACGACACTTTGCCACCATCATTAACATTACATCACCTTCTCTTACGTAATCAATGTTAGTTAAGGTACTACAAATGTAGCTTCTGAATTACATGAGTAATATGGTTTATTAATAATATCATGTCAATTATACATCAATAATGCATAATCATTGCTAATAGTTCTAAAAGTATTTCTTAGAATAACAATGCCGATTTGTTCTCGAAAACAATACAAAATATTGATTTTATTGTGTTGGTTTCAATTTATGATGTTCTTAAACATTTTAAATGTCAAGTACCATCCTCAATTTAAATTTCAGAATTCTCTCTATCACATTCAAACAACCATAGAAATTCATGGTTAGGATTTTTATCTGTATTTATCTTTTTCTATGAGGAAGACAATTAAACCTGTATTCGTAAAGATCAATTCGTTTCATCTTTTGACAAAAAGAAAATCGAGTTGACGAAGGACAGAAATGAGTTCAAATTTTTCTCGCTTTAAAAAGTTAGGGACATGGATGGGGATAGGTAATGCAATCTCCACCTCGTTCTCGTCATGACTTTATATTTAAATTTAAATTTTAAAATATTAATATTTTAAAAATATTTATTTTTCTTTTTCTATTTCATATAATGACATTTTTGTTCTATTTCACCATTTTTACTTTTTTTTTTATCCATTTTTTAATTTTGTTGTCTTTTTTAATTTTTTATATCAATTAGTTTATTACATTATTCTCTATTACATTTCGATTTTTCACATTTCCTTAAACTTTCTAATCAATTTCAATCTTCTCAACTAATTTGACGAATACAAAGTTAATTTTTTTTTCTAAATATTTTACATAAATCTTAATAGTAACTAATATTATTTTATTTATAATTTATATTTATTAGGTTTTTTTATGTCATATTTTTTATCTTATTATTCTTATTTATCATATATCAAATTTTATCTTAATAAAATAATTATATTTTAAAGAATTAAAAAGAATTAATAATTTAAACTTTTATTACTCGAACTAAATAAGAATTAACTTGTTAAAATATTTGCTTATAAATTATATATTCCATATTTTTAAATGACAACTTAAAAATAAAATAATTTATATATATAATCAAATGTTTAAATACAGTATAATAATAATAATAATAATAATAATAATAATGTTTAAAATATTCAAATATTTAAATACGTTATAATAATAATAATAATAATAATAATATTATAAATATTCTATATATAAATAAAAAATAATTAAATATTTATTTACATATATATTTTAATATAAATATAATCAATTAAAATATATATTTAATTAATAATAATTATAAATTGTAAAATTATAAATATTTATTTATATATAAAAAATATGTAGTAAAATTAATTTATTATAAATATAATTATATTTTAAAAAATAATATAGATTAGGACGGTGTAAAAGTGGAGAAACTCTAAACCTAACGTAAATACAAATAAAAACTTAATTTTTAATGTCGCTGAAGATAGATAGTAAAAATGGCTGGTTAAAAAAAGTTGGGGGATCGGATGAAACCCGCCTCTGTCCCGCCCGTTATCATGTTCATACGCGTTGTTCACTTTACATCTCATTATCACTTTATGCTTTTGGCTTTCAAAGGAGTAAAAAATATATAGAAAAAAGAAATAATGTTATACCAAATATGACTCAACCTTCTTCAACAAATAAACAAACGAATGGTCTACCTACCAAAAAAGAATGTGTGGTCTCTTTTAGTTAAGAGATTTTGCTTTGGTTTATTTACTGTTTTCATAAAATTATGCTTTATGAAATTATTCTTGAATTGTTAAATGTGATGAAAATATATTAAAGTGATTTTATTAACACTGGGAAAATTGATTTTGTAGGTTTTAACGCGACAGGATGTATGGACACGAATGACAAATGTAAAAGGAATGAATAAAGGGTAAAGAGAGAAAAGAAAGAAAGTGACGTTGCGATAGTAATATTATAACCACCGTCTTTTGGACTGAAAGAGTAGATATCACCGTCCTCGGCGAAATTTTTCGCACTAACCTGAGATGGTATCAGAGATATGGGCATTGGGTGGCACAACACAACTACAAGACCACATGGAATCATTCATCAAAGACTCTGCCTTCCCTGACACAATTTCTGCCATCTACGCCAAGAAAGGAGTCAAGTGAAATTTTGAATAGAGATTGTTCTTGACTCAAATATTAAAAAAGATGTCAGAACAAAACTTGGTTAAATTATACCTTCTTATCAGACATGTATAAATATTTGATATGTGTAATTGTTAGCAGTTGTAGTAAGTTCGAATTGTAAATGGTTTGGTCCACTTTTGCATACGACAATCACACGACCAATTTTGAAGTATGTACGTCGTGTGCAACGACTTTTCTGTTATTTGCAATTATTTCTTCATTGCCTCAACTAATTAGTGAGTTTTTTTTCACTGAGTGCCTCCAAAGTCGATCTTCACTAATCACAATAAACACCTTTTTTTTTTTAATTAAGATATATATAAATATATTTTATTAATGTATTTTAAGAAACTAATTAGGTTTTTTTGTCAATTCGACTTCCTCAAATATAACCATTATAAAACGAAAATAAAGGATGATTTTACTAAGTTAACGTTCCTATAATGTAATATGCATTTGTAATATAAAACGGAAATAAAGGATTATTCTACTGAGTTAATGTTCATATAATGTAATATGCATTTGTAAGAATGATGAGCCGACATCGGTGTTCTAAACTTTTTCAACCTATCAGTAAGAGACTTAAGAAGTTGATAATATTTCGAAACATTCCAAAAATTATCCATCTTAATAATGGAGAATTCAGCCTCAAGAGTTACCACACAGGAATATTTGTTGTCTTGAAAAATATTTCTCAACCTATTTCAAGCATCTATGGTCATGACATCGATTAAATAATTATATGTAACAAGTCATTAAGATGATTGCATAAAACTATGAAAGAACTGCAATATCAAGAGTCAATTATAATTATTTTTCATCCTCATAGGTACCTTCTCATTACTATTGGCAGAAGAAATAATATAATAAAAGCCCTTACGAGAACATGTGGTAATTTTAAAAAGTTTTGCCCATATAGAATATTGGACATTCTCCAACTCAAAAATAATAAAAATATGATTTTGTATATTAGAAACAGCAAGAATGAGATGGAAAAAACTCTCATTATCTGTCGTGAAAAAGAAAAAAATAAAAATAAAATAAAATGAAGAAAAAATTTAATTATCTTAAAAATATGATATTATAAAATAATATTTTTTTTCAATTAGTCTTATTTATTAATTTAAAATAAATACAATATACAAAATATATACAAGAATATAAAACTAATAATGTTACAGAACTAATTAGATAACTAATACTAACATTAATATATTTTGCAAACTAAATATATGATCACCATGATAAAACTTTTGTATGAAGTGCGTGTACCCAACTCAATTTGATTCGCTTTCCTTGACCAAGTGGAGGACTTTGTGCTTTTCATTTTAGGAACCAGTGCAAACAATTTGGGTGAAATCATTTGTATGAGTATGGTGGTGAGATGAATGTGGAGGTAAATGAAGAAGACATAAGATTTATAAAATACCAGAGCAAGATAAAGAAAACCACAGACTGAAGTTAAATTTATGGAAAAAAGGACAAATTTTTGCAGACAGAAATGAAATATGAAATTATTACATAATAGAATGTCCTCTTTGTTTGCCCACATGTAAACTCATCGCATTTGTTATCACACACGTTTGCATGTAAAGTTTTTCCTTTTCCTACTTGAAAATTGTTGAAATTGGAGTTCATATTATGAAACGACCAAATCCGAACATGAAAGATGGGAAGATTCTAGTTCAATACCTTGTTTGTCCCACAGAGCAGAGTAGCATATATTTTTAATCGAACTCACGCGTGGCAGTACAGTGATGACCATAGAAAGTGATGGATGGTCAAAAGAAGAGTCCAAAAAAGCAGTGGCAAAGCCTTTTAATTATAGCCCCAAACGCAGGGCACTTTTGTAACACGGACACTATATAAGACCAAAACGCGGTGGAAGGTTTCGAAGTAGAGCACAGAAGCAGATCCATTTGGGACATGACAACCTCAAAACAATACAAGAGGGAGATTGAGACGATGAAGCAAGGAAAAAGGTTCCCTAAGAGGTTCTCTGGGCGTCCAATACCGAGAAGGGGACAAGTGAAGATTGCAATTGTTCTGGGGTTGGCCCATTCCGTTTCTTCCATCTTCTTCCGCACTGCATCATGTGTTGCACCTCCTCACTTCACCCACTAAACCATCTCCACTCAACTTTTTCACCTTTTCTTTGTACAGTTTTTCTCTTTCTTTTTCTCCTCTTGTGAGTGTGCCGTTTATTGGTTTGGTGCTACTTGCTAGTGAATGAATACATCTTCTTCTTCTTCTTCTTTTTCTTCTCTCGTAATGAGTTCAGTCTTTCACCTCAATTTGCATATCTTTAGCATGGATTTTCGGCTTGGCTAGATATGTATACTCATCAAATGAAACATTCATTTTGTTAATCAAATTAAGAAATTAACCATGTTGGTCTTTTGCTATGAGATGAAACCAATGATCCTTTCAAAAGGTTAATATTCTGACAAGGAATTTACCATAATGTTAAAATATTAAAAAATGAACAGAGTGCAGCTTTCTACGGTTCGAAGATGACAGAATGGTGTTTTGCGCCCGACGAGTAGTTGGTAGGGTAGCCATGAGCTAAACGACGAAAACCAATGCCCAAAGAAAAGGAGCTTTTTATTCATTATTCGTAAAAAACCCAGTTGCCCACGTGATTTTATCGCACAAGCATCATACCCATTAAATTAAACACATAATTTCATGCTTAAAAATCATTAAGCATTCCTTTCTTAAATTGCAGGGATAAGATATTTTAATTCTTCGTTTACTTTAATTTTTGCTAACAATTAAATGAAGTTATTAGTTAAATAATTTAATCAATTCTATAAATAATATATTTTAAAATAAAAATTATTCAAATATAATTTTTATCGATTTATTTATTAAAATAAATCTATTTACGTTTAGCTTTTTTTTTTAACTTTTTTATTTCTTTCTTTTCATCAACTTATTCTTCTAATTAAAATTATTATATTAAAATTTAATAAAAATACATTTTTAAAATTAAATAATTATTTAAAACTATTATATTAAATTTTAATAGAAACATGTGAAAATAAATTCTTTAAATTAAATATAAATAATTATTTAAAATTATAATAACAATAAATAAATTATTTATTGTGATAATAAATAATTTTATTTGTAATAACATAAATAATTTAATTTAAAATTATTTATCACAATAAATTAATTACTTATTTAATTAAAAATATCAAATATTTATAAATTTAATATATTATTTAATAATTTAATCTTGTCATTATTAGATCAAGTAATAATTAATTACATTAGATAATTTTTAAAAAATAATTACTTTAAAATAAAAATTTAATTTTTTAAATAATTATAACAATAATATTTATAAAAGAATCACTTCTCAAATTTTAATACAGTATTTTTAATATTTGTAATTTAAACAAAAAATATAGAGTAAAACAAATCTAAACAAAAGAAAAAAATAATAAAAAATTACGGAAAGAGTAAAAAAAAAGTAAAAAAAAAAAGAAAAATATATTTGTTTAACATAACCAATTCTTATATTTAAAATATTATGTAACGATATTATTTTTGTCACGATAAATAAATAAATAAAAATTATATATAAACTATTTTTATCTTTTATTTTTAAGATATATAAGAAAATATGGGAAGAATATTAATAATGGAATTAACATCATCATCAGATGCGGTACCAGCTAATTGCTTCTCTTCGTAAACCTTAATTTTTTTGTCGCGGTATCTTTTGGGTGGATTATTAGTATGGCCCCCTATATTGACCTCTTTCACTTTTTCCATTTTTTTTTCATAAATATCCATTGACCACGTAACTCTCTTTCTTTTGCCATATGTTTCAACACTAATTATTGATCAAACAAAACAAAACGTAATTCCTTATGTCATCAACGTTGAAATTTTAAAATCTTTTAGTGTACCAGCCATACACGATAAATATAATCGACAATTCAAAACTTTTTAATAAATTGGTATAAAATAATAACTTTCCCTCAATTAATATATCATATATCCTATATAGAGCAATCACTTATGTCATCAACAAATAAAATAATAAATAGCTTCATCAATAATCCTAACAACTCAAATAAATAAACAAACTTAAATATTCTAAACACAGTCTAGAAACTACCACTCTATATCTAGACTTAGTCCGAAAATAATGATGATTCTGGAAAAACACATGATTACTCAATTAGGTAATATAACCTTCCCTTCATTCCATTGGATTATTGATACTTGTCTTTTTTTTTTTTTTTTACAGCCTACAATTGTGTTCATAAAACTTTCCTATTCAGCCCAGTGAGTTTGGTTTAGCTTAGCAAAGTCTGAATTAAAAATTTTGAAGAAATATGCAATTTGAGCGAATGTGCTAGAAAATTATTTTTCATATTTTCAAAATCACTCAATAGATTGAGAATTTAATAAAAAAACAATTGAGAGAACCCAAAGTCGCAGGAAAGTCACCCACAGTGAGATAAAGGATGAAAACCCCATCAGAGCCTTTTGAAGCTTGGGACATGAAGAATCTCGAGTCTATATGTCTCTGTCACTTTCTTACCATGAGTTGTTAATTTTTTTTATTTTTTTTTGGGTTTGCATGTAACTAACCAAATATCATATATTGTATATGGTATTTAGATATATTCACTTCATCTCTATTCTATTTCAGTGTTTCAATTTCTATGTTTAATGCTTAATATGTTTACAAAATCATGGTTTGTTTTCATAAATGAAATCTAACTGAGTTCTATATCTTAGTATGAATTGAATCACCTTCTAAATTTGATTGATAGAAATAGGACTTAACTCAATAATTGTTATATAATGCATTTTTAAAGCAAGTTCTTTTATAAAAGATTTATGTTTGGTGACAGAATAACATCAAGAGGAAGGGGGAAGGCATGGAAAGTTATGATATTCTTTAAACTTGAATAACTTGCAAGGTCTAGCTCTGTCTCAACTTAGTCATACAAGGCTCATTCTCTTCATTAATGACTTTCTACTGACCACTATTTTTTCTCAAATAGTATCAAAATCTTCCACAGTACACGAAATATGAGACCATTGGGAAACGCCTAAAGAGCAGCGGTTATGTAGTGTGCATGAGCATTTGCTTGACTTATTACCGAAAATTCAACTCGGTTTGAAGAATTTTAGTTTGAGCCCATCATTCACAATGCTCCAGATACCTCCAATGGAAAAGGCCAAGCTAAACCCAACCCCCAACCAGCCCAGAATCCAGTTGAAATACCAATTGAAGCTATATTTTGGTGGCTGTTTTATCAGAACCCACATGAAGCATGGATATGCAAAAGTGACTGGAAGAGTGAGTCCTCCTAACAAACCAGCAAGGCTTGAGAGAAAGGGAAGCGCCACTCCTATGAAGAAGGAGACAAATCCATAGAACACTCTAAAACCTGATCTCACCCATATGGAGCAGGGACGGTTTGTCCTGCTGGTGTAACCAGCTTCAAAACTGTCAAAAGCAGGCATTGAGTATATCTGGAAACTGCTCAAGCAGTTAAACACAACAAGAAGGAAAGTTAAGGCAAGGATTCCTCTTGAGATGTCATGACTGTGAAATGCATACAAAGCAGTGAGAATCCCTCCAGGAGGCATCTGTAACAAAAAAATGGAATATGGTCTCATCATATTAATCAATATGATCCTCATCTGATACAATGATCAAATCCTATTAGACATCTTTGTACAAAATAGTTTTGCACAGACGTTTTCTATATATTAAATTAATATTAAAATCAGTCGAATTTGTTTATCATTAACATTCTAGTTTTCAGTTTACTTACTTGGTTTCCATAGGCCCAAAAGCCACCAATAGCAATTGGGAAGAGGCACATTGCAATGAAGAAATAAGCAACCTTGGCTCCTTTCCACATTGGCACACGGGCCGGGTGCTTAAAAGTTGAAGGCATTGTGGACTGAAGGAAACAAAAAGTACACATATTCACTAAATACACAGAAATAAAAATAAAAAGTAGAATAACTTATTTCCAACTCACAAATACCTGAATTTCTAGGGCCAAATTGTGGCCCCTGAAAGAAAAGGCTATAATTCCAAGTGCATTCATGGCAAGAAATACAGAAGCAGAAGGTTGTGACAATGATAGGGGTTCATAGGAAATGGAAGGTGGCCTTTGTTGGCTTACAGAGAGAATCCAGACCATGGTGGAGTAAGTTATGGCTGTCACAGCCCCTATGAGTGAGAGACCTGCAATTGAATTGAGGTTTGGAAGCTGAGACAGGACAATGGATAGAGAAGTGAAAACCAAGTACCACTCCACTGTGGTTAATGGATTTGAGGTACAAGTGGGTCCGCAAACTATTTGGAAGAACAGTTTCATGGTCTCCCCTCCGATAAGAATCAAAGCTGTCGCAGTTCCTGCTGACAAATAAACAGTTGGGAAGAGAGCAAGCCAGACTCCTAATCTTTCCCCTGCAAAAGAAGGTAGATACTAAACAATAAGTTCTCTGACGTCCGAAAACGCAAGTTTAAGGACATATATGAATCAACTATGTTACAAAGTCGTTCTACGTTGTTAATTAGGTAGCTTCTTTTAACTGTGCTTACATTAACGAGCTAGAAAAAAAGTAATCAAAGGCAAAGCAAACTTACCAAATGCTGCTTGTGCTAGCTCCACATATCTGTTGTATCTTTTACCTGGAACTGCTTCATGAAGCTGAACCAAAATCCATAACGTGTAAAGTTGCCAACAATATGCTATGGTTAAGGAAAGAATTCCCCAACTCCTGCAACATATTTGGATAAAACATATTCAAGAAGGCTGAAGTATTTTTCATACGCTAGTATTCCTTACTTACAAACATTGCTAATAAACTCAATTGGATAACTTACTAGATGTATAGAAATAGAAACATGGTCAAAGGACAGAAAAGGTTTTCCCAGAACAGTATTAGAAAATGGAAATTATGATCAAAAGATGCATTCACTAATCAATTGAATGACCAACATCAAGGGACCCTCTATCACCAAAAATAGATAATATGGACAAAATAAGAACTGTTCCCCATACAAGGGTGATTTAATTGAACTTTGGGAAAAGCAAAATATAAAAAATTGGCAGCATCTTGATTCCGCCCCAACCCCCCCTTGAAATTCTTTCTATTCAACCAATCAAATATATGATGAACTTTGATATTTGTAAAAGACATGCCCCACAATTCAAAATGATCTTACTTTCATGCCTAGGGCCATGACCAGGAGACAATATTTCCTTTTGTTTCTATTCTGCCTACAAATAAAAGAGAAACACACAGAATTCGCATGCACATTACAAAGTAAAGCATGGGATATTCCATCATATTGGAAATAAAATAAATAACCTTTATTTACAAAGGCGTGCTGTCATCTTACAAAATAGCATCAAACTAATTCCACTAAAGTTAAACGCACTATAAGCTAGTCAAAGTAAGTTATTTGAAATATATGCTGTTTCACAACAGAAATGTTGATCACTCACTGCAGTTGAACAGGTGCAGAATGTAATGCAACGTGGTGAATAGGTAGGAAAAGATAGATACCAGCCAAGGTATGCAAAAGCAACCGGCAAAACGAGGGCTTGGAAGCCAACACCGGCATTGAGGTTGTGGAATGCAGCATAGTGAGCATTTCCATTGCGAGACTCAGTGATTGGAAGCCAAGCATCTTGAGGGTTGAGCTTGGTAAGGTGTCCCACCTCCTCCAAGTAACCCTTCATGTTTACCAGCACTCTCTTCATTGGTGTACCTATTGGACTCAGAAACCTTGGTGATATGAACGAGGTTGGGGTCCATGATTTTCCTTCCTTTGATGCTGCTCTTGGTGACCTCTGCCCCGACGGTGTCAGTATCTCTGGCGTTGACACCCTCGGTGTCGCTGGTATAGATATCAGTTCTGTTTCTGGTCTCTCCTCCATAATATCTATGTATATATATATATATATCCACCTCATTAACAAAAAAAATAAAAATTCTTAGACACACACATATAGTTTAAAGGGAAAGAAAGTCTCTTGATAATAATTGGGACATAGTCATTATACGGAAATACTAGCAGCTATCATGAGAATAATGCGCATGCTCTTTCCTAGTAGTCAAAAGTTTTATACAATCTTGTTGGACAAAACTCACAAAAGTAAAATACTTTATTGACCAAAATGTTATAGAAAACAAATTAATCATGGTTACTAGATTAATCCGTCGTCACCAAGAGCTTCACAATTGCTAACAATAGCTTCCCGACATTAATTACAGGAGGACCTCAAAATGTCATGAAACAGAAAAATATATTGAAACCAAATTTGCTTACAGGGCTCCTAAGTTAACCACACGACCGGAGCTACGCTTCTTGCTCATAGTTTTGGGTAAAAAAATCATTACAGGCGCACTCAAGTCAGAAATTAAACCTTCTTTGACTGGGATAACAAAAACTACACACTTGTGAAAGAAGCTGAACTCACTTTGGATTTGTGCAATTAAGAGGCAGAGATAAGAAGAAAGATCTATATTGTCAGGTTCACAAACTCTGGTGTGAAAGGAAGTGAGATACAAAAGAGCCATTAGAAAATGCTCATGCGGGGATTTTGCTAAACCCATAAGGCCATAACTATACACTAAATGTTTGTCAAGGACATCTTCATACAGTTAGTCAGTCTGATTTTTCTGGGGAGCTTAATCATCAACAGAGCTGATAGATACTCCATAAAATTCTACTAAATGCTTGTAATAAAGACGAGTTTGGCCAATCAAACAGTCTTCCAGATCTTGTGTCACTTGTCTTTTTTTTTTCCTGTCGATTTACCAACCCACAACACACATGATGGTATTGTGAACTCACAAGGCGAACAGGGTTTACATATGTCAAAGATTTAAACAATAACCGTTTTCTGCATCAATTTTTTTTTTCAAGCAAATAATAGTCACTTCACTAGCCCCTGAGTTCCATGACTCACAAGGACCAGACACTAATATAATGAGAAATGAATGCAACACGACACAAAGACTAGCCAGCCAGGAAGCAGTGATTTCAGAATGCTTGAAGGAAGAACAAAGGAAACATGCAACACCATGAAAGTTTAAATACCTTGATATACACACCCACCAAAATTATATAGTCGGAATGAAAGTGTAGGAACTTGAATCACAATAACAAGAAGCTACCAGTGAGAGTCCAAACTTCAAAGAAAGCCAGACATGGTAGGAGAAAATATGAGGAAGGCGGTCTTCTTTTTTATGAACAACTCAGGGTGAGTGAGTTCTTCTTCCCTCCCTCAACTAATCTTCTATAATAACCTCTTCTTTTCTTTTCTTTTTTCTTTAAAAAAAAAAAAAAAAAACTATCTTTGGGACTAGGTATTGATGGTGTATCCCATTGTCTGTCTCGAAGTGCGGCTATTTTTTGTTTTTTAAAAAAAAAAGGAGGAAAAATGACGTTGGTACGAGAAACCATAATGGTTTACGACTTTGTTTACTTTGTTTGAGGAAAAAGAAGAAAAAAGAGAGAACAGTCCTCATTTGATGTCTCTCACTCTCACTTCGATTGCTTTGCCTTTGAAAGCGTTGCAGAGACAGGCACAGTGGGTGTTGTGTTGGTGGGGACACAAAGTAGCCGAAAGGAAGAGAATGCAATGCATGAGGAAGCAGCGTGGCCGTCGATCATTGACGTGGTGGGACACGTGGACCAACTAACGGCGGCGATCGGGGTCTGGCCCTGAGCTCACTACTGAGCCCACTGAATCCATGTGAATGTGAAGTGAAGTGAAGTGAAGGCAGACATGGTAGAGCTAGCTAGCTACTAGTGCTATGTCATACGGAATGGGATTCAATCATTTCTTTGTTTAACTCAAAAGCTTAATCAATCAATCTTGTGTTATGGACGGTGTTAAATATTAAACTAATCAAAATTATCTAAAAACTAATTAGAATCTTTTTTCTAATTTTTTTAATCTTTTTTCTCAATCAAACTATTTAATTTTAATTTCAAATAAAAAATATATTTTATTATATTTAAATATAATATTATATGTTTAAAATAAATTAGCATGTAATCTAAAAAAGTTATTTTACAAATTTATTGAATATAATATTAAATATTAAAAAAATCACAGTATATTATTTTATTTGATATTTTTTATTAAAAATGTTTACTATTTTTCTAAAAGTTTAACAAATTTACTATGATAATAAATATTGTAAGAAAACGATGTAAATTTAACTATAAAATATTAATTTAATTTAACTGATAATTTATATTAAACTAAATATAAATCCCAATGTTTGATTCAAAATTTTTTTTTAAGAACAAAATTGAATAAAACCAAACAGTCAACCTAAACCCGTGAAGGTGGGGTGTGGTAAACCATGATTTGTTTTCTGACCGTGCTTTCATCCAGGAAATAAATGCGTTCATTCTCATGTCTCGTTCTTTAGTTTCACGTATCATCATCATTTTCCTTCACTTACAAAATCAAAATTATAAGGATTGGTGTGAAGGTAGCATAAGATTCTTTGACGAGGAGTGTTTAATGATTACCATGAATGACCAATAATTTCAGGTGAATACAAACCATTTAAAAAAAAAAAAGTGTGGTGGTGACAAGCAGAGAGAAAACCTTGGAACAATGAAAGAATGGGAAGAAAGAGAATTTGTGTGAGAAATTAACCAACACCCAACCTCCACGTGTCACCTCCGTTGGGCTTGGCGTGTGATTCATGGTGACCACTCCTCCTAAACCAACATGATTTTGTTGGCATGATATGGTACCACCAAACATAATTGTGCTGCTTCATTGCAAATGATTTCCTTTCAGCATGAAACTAGTACCATCATGCTGTTCTATGTTTCCTCATTCTCATTTAACCCACATTTTTCTTTTTTAGATTTTTTATTTAGTATTGTCTTAAATCGCCATTTTTTTTTTACAAATTCATTCTCACTATTGTATCACCTTTTCACCGATAGAACTTTTTATATTTATTTTAAAACAGTAATTATTTTTAAAACTTTTTAATTTATTTTTTAGAGCCTAATTGACCCTAAAAGATTATAAAGTAATAAGAAAAAAATTTTGAAGCTTTGGACTATGGCATTGAATTTAATGGGCTTCCACAGTATTGTTAACCATGAGTTTAGTAATTTCTATTTAGTTTGATTTAACTTTTCATTTCATTTATGTAATTTTTATATCATAATTAATAATTTGTAAATGATCTTAATTTTCTACATTCATTTCTCATTTAGAATTAACCGTTTATATGTGAAAAAAATCATCTTAAAAAGAAAATTACTTTTATAAATTGATTCAATGTTGTCTTCATGAAACATGAAAAGATAACATGGACATTAAGATCTTGACCTAGACTTAAATAGAAGTTCAAGATTCAATGAAAGACTTTAGAGGACTCCTAATAAAAATAAGATTTAAGAAGGTCCATAAAACTTTAAAACAGATGATGTTTAACTTGATGAAAATCAGCCCAAAAAATTTATCTCACGCTTCAAGAATATTGAAATAACATCTATTGTTTTGTTCATTTCAAAATTATAAATCCAATAAGTTCTTATGTTTTTTGAAAAAATAAAATTATCCATATCACATGAAGAGGAAGGGCTTGCAAACAAATATGTTTTCATTTCAATATTAAAAGCTAAGCTCAAAGCTAATCCCAAACCCAGAAGGTTAAGGTCCATAAAGTAGCATGGTGTTGGACGCAGATTAACCAGGCCTTTTTATTCTTTGAGTTTAATTAAAAAAAAAATAACAACTAAAATAGATAATTAAAAAAAATTCTAAATATGAGTAACTCGTGCTGCTCTTTTTTTTTCACCTCGTATTCTCCCATGTTCTGGGTTTCTCATCATCATGTGTGACTTTTAAATATCTAATTATTATGCAACACTTCGAGTTAGTTGTTGTGTCTTGTTTTAGAGCATTGATCGGTACTGTCTTTAATTTTATATTTAAGTAGAGTAAAATATGATTTATTCTTTTAACAAAAATGAAATTTCTCTTTAACATAACACTGCACTAGAATTATTTACAACAATGGACTAGTGGCTAACAATTGAGAATAAACGAAGTTATATATGATGTTATCATTAACAAATTTTATACAACTTCATGTGGATGGGTCTATCATCCTAAGTTACTGTTGCAGATCCTTCTTCAGAGTCAGCAAACACCTTGTTAAGAATCATGGCTAATCGAATTCCACCTTGAGCAATTCGTTTCATGACAAATGGCATCCTTGAGTCGAAGTAATCATCTACAAAAGAATCATAATACAATGTCACCACTGAAAATCCTTTAACTTTTCAATGAGTCTGCTTAGCTCATGCTGATATGAGCAAGACTCGAACTAATCAACGTTGGTGCAGTTTCATGAATTAGTTATTTATCATCTAACTGTTTCGTTAAATAACTGGTTCAATTTATGGTTGGTGAATTGGGTTACCTGCCAGAGTTGTTCCAGGTTTAACACCTTCGTAACCCCATTTGCAAGCAATTTGTATGCTCTCTTTGGCCCAACTATATGATTCCAGAAACGTGAGTAATGTTAGCATTAACAACCAGAGGAAAAAGAGAAAATGGGAGCTGAAGATAATAGAGAGGGAGAACTCACTTATTTACACACTGAGGGATATCATCACAATGTTTCCAAGATGAATCATCTGCCCAGATTCCCTGTATACAAGACCCAAGTTATTTTGTTGATTTTATTTGGAATGAATCAAAGAATTCACGTGTTTAATAAACACTAGGAATAGGAAGGGTGTCAGACAAATTTCCTCTTACATCAGTGTAGTTCCTCTCAATATCTTGGAGAAGGAGACTCGCATCCTTATCATAATAGTCTGCTAGTGCAGTGAGAATAATTTCTCTGTCCCAAACCTAATGATAGACAACAAAATTAGTAGTTGTATGCATAGAAGTAATTTGTGAATAATAAATGGGGATGAAGTTGAAGTTGTGCGGCGTACATGGTGCAGATTAGATTTGTGCCTAAACCAACGTAGTTCTATTGTGTTTCCTCCTTCGTCAGTGGTGAATCCAACATGCATTGGCTGAAAAGGTAAGTCCCCAAAAGTATTGTTTAAGGGAATGGTAAAATGGTATATAAGAAACTTCACAAAAAAAGACTTTGAAAAGCTTTCCACATACTTGATGAATATCTCCCATGAAATGTGACAAGAACAACAACGCCTCAGTCATATTATCTGTAGGAGAAAAAACGAAAGGCATTGAACCAAACTATCAAGAGGAGAAGATGCAAAGATTAAGAAAAAAGACAAGTGAAAATCCGTTTGAGTTTTTCCATGATAAAAATACATTTTCTGTAGTAATAACTTTGTTGTTCTGTTTAAAAATCCGGATTGTGAAGAGAAAAAAATTTCGGATTCTCAAGAGGAAAGAAAGTTAAAAACTTGACTCCTTACATCTCTGATCAGATGCCCCCTCTTTGTAATGCATGAGTTGAGAAGTGAAATTTTTCACAGCACCAGCTACACACATATCCTCCACGCCATGGGAATCATGGCAGTCCCCTATGGTAACAATCAAGAACAAGTTCTAGCATAATATTCAAAGGTTTAATGAGAGCATATAATTAGCAGACATAAGCAGTGCTTACTTGAATACTGAAAAGAACAAGCATTATCCGGTGTGTCAATGAAATGAAGAGGACTTGTCCATCTATATCTGAACCAGTGTCTAATTTGGTCAGGCCATACGCATAGGGCTGATAAGTTACCGTTCACGTAGTCTGGTAACAAATGGTGCACTGCTTCTAATGCCTCAGGCTCTAAAAGTGCCTATTTATCAACCACCAAATTTCAATACTTGGGATACCATAATAATAAATCTTTTGATAGTGAAGTGATATGTATTATGTTGTGTTGTTGTTTCATGGATTGAAAATGAATTTTACCTGTGCAATTTGGCATGTAATGACATGACCTTCTTTACTCCAGGCAAGGGCACCAGGCACTCCGATGAATGCTGAGCTAAAGAACAAGAGAAATCCAAATGGAACAAGACACAAACCTCTAAGTCTACCCATCGCTTCACTAGATTCCCTTTTCCCCTGACTTTACATGCTTCGCTTTCTTCAAGTTGGAACATTATATAGGGATTATATGATTGTCTTGAAAGAACACTCAACATGGTTTTCATTGAGTGCAAGATTTCAATAACTATTTTTAAAATTATGTCAAAGTTGAGTTCAACTACAAGCAAGGTGGGGTGATAAACACAACAAGTTTTTAGTTGGTTGCTTATGGCACATTGTTACCCCACAGGCAAGCAATATACTTCAAATAAATAAATTATGATATTTTATATATATTTTTCTCTTTTCCCCTGTTTTATGCTATGGGCGAACAAGATATTAGCTTCAACGTCAAGCAGTTATGGACAAACAACGCTGTTGAGGAGGATGTGGGAAATGATGTTTGTTACAAATTTTGTTAGATGGATGACATGTTTATAGGTGTTTTACTAAATACCAATATCCTTCTTTAGATAAACTTCAGACAACACACCAAACTTCTTGGGCTTATTGAAGGAGAATTTAAATCATGTTTTAGTCATGTCTAGACAGCACCTATCATTATAGATTTGCAAATCCATTTATTTTACTCGAAAATATGGCATAATATTATAATCAATAAACTAAATTCAAATTCTGGATATATTTCTTTATAAACAAACAATTATAAAAAAATAATATTTTCTTATAAGACAATTAAATCAAACAGAAATTAAAAAGGCCTTTTAAAGTAACATATACGAGAGAACTTTACCAAATTAATTTAGCATATGATAATTATAATTAATACAGAAGTATATTTTATTTTTTTATTTTTTCTTTTAAAAATATTTAAAAAATTATTCAAACAAAATTTATATCTAACTATGAATTTTATTAAGAAGTACAAGCTAAGTAAACAACTTGACGTAATAAACTGATAAACAAGCAATAGTAATTAATCATTTATCAGACTTTCAACCGCGTATCTTAACAAATAGCCATCCCCAAACAGTAGTATCACACGCAATGGTTATGAGAAGTAGCATTGTGGCCAGTACACATTTGGGCCATTTGAATTTTAGCCCAATATTGCAATATAACAACCTCTAAAAGTTCAGAAGCCCACTTCATAGACCTAAATAGGATACATTCAATAAATAGGATACAGATAGTGAAACCCTAGGAAGCCGCTGCAAGGTGTGTGAGAGGGTGAGAGAGCGAGAAAGAGACCATGAAGTTCAACCCAAGAGTATCGAGCAGCCGCCGTAAGAGCCGGAAGGCTCACTTCACGGCGCCGTCGAGCGTGCGGCGGGTGCTGATGAGCGCTCCTCTTTCGGCTGAGCTCCGGTCCAAATACAACGTGCGCTCGATTCCGGTGAGGAAAGAGGACGAGGTGCAAGTGGTGCGTGGAACATACAAGGGTCGCGAGGGGAAAGTGACGCAGGTTTACCGTCGCAAGTGGGTCATCCACATCGAGCGCATCACGCGCGAGAAGGTTAACGGTTCCACCGTCAACGTCGGAATCCACCCTTCCAAGGTTGTGGTGACGAAGCTGAAACTGGACAAGGATCGCAAGGCCATTCTCGATCGCAAGGCCAAGGGCCGCGCCGCGGCTGACAAGGAGAAGGGCACCAAGTTTGCTCCAGAAGACATTATGCAAACCGTGGATTAGTCTTTTTATCATATAAAGCAGGGTTTTGTAGCGTTTCCTATATCTCAACTATTCATTATCTTTTTGAAAGTTTTTGTTTTCTTATGTTAATCAAACTATATTTTACCCTTTTATTTTCTACGTACTTAATATTTCTTGCCCCTTCTTATATTGCATAATTACCGCGCTTGCATGTTCGTTTTGTTTCTATTTTTGAATTTTAGTATGCCTGTTGGACAGTGAGACCAATTTATATTACAGAAAAATATATGGTCCAACTGATTTCTCTTTTGTTAGAATAGGTAGTGAATAATATTCATGTTGAAAAAATTAGATCTAGAATGTAATAACTCGGGCTGTTGGATGTCATTTGTTTCCCAATGAGATTGAGCTTTGTGTTGTTGTACTTGAGTGTTTGCACGGTGTTGTGAATGATGAGATTGTTAATTTTACAGTTATCCCTGGCTGATATAGCAGGTGCTGAAAATTTGTAATCTGACACGCACTGTTAATGGAAATGTCAAGTTATTGCAATTTGGGTACCTTTCTTGTACCAAAGGATGTTGGGTTCTTTCTACGGGATTTTTTTTTTTTTTTAATATTGTGTATGAACAATGATGGTGAAACTTTTTCTGTAAAGGTTTTATGGTAACTGTAATTTTTTTGTGAAATTCAACCTGATTGTTATAAAGCTGGATATTGTGAAATCCTATTATCACAAACTAGTCCTAGTTTTTTCTCATAAACGGTTGAATAATTTATTTGGTGCTAATCGAAAGTATTGATATATGCTATTTCCTCATTTTTGTGAATGTGGGAGTGATATGTGATATGTTTTGAAGTTGTGTTTTAATGTCTTATTGGGAATGTGTTATGGAGGAATCGTTGCGTTGCCATGTATCCTAAACTTTAGGTTTATGCTTTAACTTCTTTATCAATATGGTTATATGATTTGTTTTTGTTTGACATAAAATTAGATCACATTGTTCTGGTTTATTTTCCCATATTTTTAATTAAGCAAAATAGCAATTGATGGTTTTGTTTGTGTATATTATTGTTTAAAATAGGTGTCTTTATATTATTAAATAAAAATTTGTTGTTTCTAAATTATTCATTTTAAATTTGAACAATATTTGTTGTTTCCAAATTATTTGTTTTAAATTTACAATTTTTAGTTATGAGTAATTGTTCGAGTGACATTGGAAAGGGATTTAAATATTTAGAATTGGTTATCTCATTATTTTATTTTAAAAGACCTATGAAAGAGTTAAATATCTTTAATGTAAATTAAAATTTAAATATTTAGAATTGATTATCTTATTATTTTATTTTAAAAGACAATATGAAAGAGTTAAATATCTTAAATATATTTAAGATATTAAATTTTAAGATATTAAATATAATATTTTAAATATATTATCATAAATATTTTAAATATAATATCTTAAATATTTTTAATATATTAAATATAATATCTTTAATATATTAAATATAATATCTTAAATATATTAATTTTTTAAGATATTAAAGATAATATCTTAAATATATTAAATTTAATATCTTAAATATCTTAAATTTAATATCTTTAATGTCTTAAATTTAATATCTTTAATATCATCTTTAATATCTTAAATATATTAAAGTTATTCTTTAATATATAATATCTTAAATAATTTAAATATATTATTTATATTATATTAATTATTTTAAATATCTTTAATATATTAAATATAATATCTTTAATATATTATCTTTAATATATTAAATATAATATCTTTAATATATTAAATATAATATCTTAAATATATTAAAGATAATATCTTTAATATATTAAATTTAATATCTTTAATATCATCTTTAATATTATCTTTAATATCTTAAATATATTAAAGTTATTAAAATTATTCTTTACATTGTAATTTAGATTATATTGTATTAAAGTTATTCTTTACATTGTAATTTAGATTTTTTTAATTTGTATTGTAATAGTTATTTTTTACATTGTAATTTAGATTCTTTAATTTGTTTATCGTATTAAAGTTATTCTTTACATTGTAATTTAGATTCTTTAATTTGTATTGTAATTTAGACTCTTTAATTTATTTTTCTTATTAAAGTTATTCTTTATATTGTAATTTAGATTCTTTGAAGGTATGAAAATACTTAAATTATTTTTAGTCTTGATTTTAAATTATATACTTTGTTTCTTTTTGTTTTTTTTTCACTGTTCCAATATTTAATCTAAAGATAATAATGTCAAAATTAATTATTGGACTTCTGATCTTATCTATTTTAAAATTTATGAAAGGGTTAGGTTATTATTATCCCTTAGTTCTTATATTGTTTTGATAATCTTAAAATATTTATATGATTAAAAATCAAGATTAAAGAAAATTTAAATATACAGTTTTTTGTAAATATTTCAAAGTTTTTTTTTTAATAAAACTATAATAATATTATTTAAATGTGGTGATAAATTTTGATAATTTAAAAAGTGGATTTATCACCACATTATCAAGAGTGGATTCAAATTGATAATTTTTATTTTCATAAATAATTCATGTTTTACAGAACTCATGCATTTGTTTTTGTAAATGTTGTTTCTTTTTGTTTCAATTTATTTTTGAATCCTCATGTTCTTCTCAAATTGTAGTTAATTCATTTGTTGAATCCTAAGATAAGTGTTTTGTTTTGTTTTTTTTTTTGTCACATACTTTATCCTGTATAAAAAAAAAATGATGAATAATGCATTATGCTTGATTTTCATTTTACTAATGAGTATTTTCATCCATTTGAGGCAAATATAATATAAAAATAACAGAGAATCATAATTTTTATAAATAATATATAAAAAATTAAACTAAAGAATTATAAAATTATTTATGTTTATTTTAGAGAAAATGATTATTTTTTCAAAGAGACGATGGTGATTTTGAAAAAACGTAACTTTGCAATATGTATTTACTATTTTCATCTCATATACAAACGATAAATAAAATATATAAAATCCATGAAAAAAATGATAATTTTGTATATTTCTTATCATATAAAAAAATAGTATTCTTGTATAAATTATTTTTCAAATTTCCATTTTCTTTAAATGAATAGACATGAGGAAGAATCATACTTTATTGATTTTATATTAGAATTCATTTATAAATTAAAAAGAAAAATAAGTTATAATAAAAAAATACTAATTAATATCATAAGTTAGTGATAGGTAAACTAATAATTAAATATGATCTTTAATCTAACTATCAAATATAAAGTAATCTCATACTGTAAACATGTTGTAATAACTAAATTCGAAAGCGTACCTGAATTAGCCATAATGATGATGTCTATTTTAGAGCACTATTGATCTTATGGTCTTCCTTCTTGAGAGCACCTGTATTTCCCTCTGGATTTTCTCTCTTGATGGGATAGAAAGAAAAGAACAGGACTCATACTTACGTTTTGTGTGTGTGCTCCCAGATGGGGACCATGACCCTTTAAATAACCAGAATTAGGTTAATTACTTAAGTTTTAGTATTTCTAATTTGACCTCTCATCAAATTAGAAATTACTCTATGGTCTCTACACAATTTTATTTTCATGACATATGCTTTTAGTCAAAACTTTAATTTAGTTAGATCATTTTATTATTTAGCTTAATAAATAATGACCTAACACATTTAAATTATGTATCATATATATACATGACCCAAATTTTGCCAACAATCTCCCACTGGTCACAAATATATATGTCCTTATAACCTTACAAATGTGTTAGACTTTATGAGCTCAAAATTGTCATTATATTCCAAATGTCCTGTCCATTGATCATATCAAGATATAGAACCAAACCAACTTTTCATTGCATCATCGCAACTAAAACTAACAATGATTACTCATCCTGACATAACCAAATGACATGGATTCATCATGAAATGTGTAACATGAAAAATTACGTGAAGGTGATCTGTACACGTCTATTTTCAACTGGTCCAAACTTTAACTTATCGAGATCGATATAATAACATTAATGTACAAAGTGTAATGAATGAACGAAAAACCGCATATCTATAGATAACCAAATATGTCCAAAAAATCAATGTATACATACATGAAATTAAACATAGATCATAAAATATATGAAAATGACTAATTCCCACTAAACCACAAATTCCTCAAACTAGAAAACACCCATGTGAGCAACATGCTCATGAAAGACCTTGGGCGGAAGTCCTTTAGTTAGAGGATCTGCTATCATGGAGTTTGTCCCTAAATGTTCTATGGAAATCTGTGCACTCTGTACTCTTTCCTTAACAACTAGGAACTTAATGTCGATGTTCTTTGACTTAGTCGAACTTCTGTTGTTGTTGGAATACAATATAGCTGATTTGTTGTCACAATATAACTTAAGTGGTCTTTCAATGCCTTTCACAATTTGCAGCCCTGTGACAAAATTTCTCAGCCATATTCCATGATTCGACGCCTCATAGCATGCTACAAATTCTGCTGCCATAGTGGATGAAGTTGTAAGGGTTTGCTTGACACTGTGTCAAGAAACCGCACCACCTGCTAACATGAAAATGTAACCTGAAGTGAATTTCAAACTATCTTGACATCCTGCAAAGTCCGAGTCAGAAAACCCATCGATCTCCAACTGGTCTGATCTCCTGTATGTGAGCATGTAATCTTTTGTTCTCTTTAAATATCTCATGAATCTTTTTGCTGCTTTCCAATGGTCCATTCCTGGATTGCTTAAATATCTGCCTAGAACCCCAACTATGTATGCTATGTCTGGACGTGTACATACTTGGGCGTACATCAAACTCCCTACAGCTGATGCATAGGGAATCTTTTGCATTTCCTCAATTTCCAAATTCCTCTTTGGGCACTGATTGAGACTAAACTTGTCTCCCTTAGCAACTAGAGTATCCCCGGATTTACATTCATGCATGTCAAACCTTTTAAGAATTTTTTCGATATAACTCTTTTGTGATAATCCTAAAATACCCCGACATCGATCTCGGTGT